TTCCTGGAGGCAGGATCGCCATTTCAGACTAAGGTAGAGGTAAGAGCCAATGGCAGGCTGTTCTGCTTTTCTGATCTTCAGGTTGAACCCCAATTTCTGTCTTTGGGTTTTTATTAATTGTGCTACAGATGACAGTTTGTGGGATTTGGCTTACTCCTTCCATCGTGTGTATTCTGGGGCTTGAGTTCAGGTCACCAGACTTTGCAGCTACACCTTTTCCTATGGAGCCACCTTCCTAATACCGGTCAGCTGTTTGCTGTTAGCCATTCTAATAGATATATAATGATACCTCATCCTGGCTTTAACTTATACGCAAAGAAACAATGATGCTGAACATCTTTCCATGCTATTTAAGTATCATATTTTTTTTGCATTGTTCATTTTGTTTTTGTTTTTTTTTTTTTTGAGACAGGGTTTCTCTGTGTCCTAGCTGTCCTGGAACTCACTCTGTCAACCAGACTGACCTCAAACTCACGAAGATCCGCCTCTCAAGTGCTGGGATTAAAGGCCTGTGCCACCAGTGCCTGGCTCATTTCTTTTCTTATTGACATTTGGGAGTTCATTTCCTTGTTTTTATGTGCACAGTTAAATACCACCAGAATTAGTCAATATCTCTTATCTACCTCTGTCTTAAAGAAAGCTCAGGCCTTACCTTGTGCTATTTTACAGGTTGTTGAAAGGTTTAGTTCCATTTTATTTTCCTGTGCCTTCCTCCAACCTCAGTTTCTGTTTCCTCCCCCACCTATCCATCCCACTTCCCACCTTCTGCATCCTCTTCTTTGGGACCCAGTCAGTAATACTTGACATTTCTATGTAGTTATGTGTGTCAGGGACCAGCCTTGACAAAAATACCTCCTGCCAGGGTTGAGGTGTGGGGATTCAGAAAATATTAGTAAAAAATATGAAGACGAGAATGAAAATAATAAAATGGGGAAACATAGAATAGTATCAGGAGGGAATTCCAATGAGTACTGAAATTTGCCTACATTTAATTTCCAATTGCTTTAAATACCCCGACCCCAAAAGGTAGGAGTAAGACGAAAAAATGGCATTAATATGATACAAGGAAATGAACAGACCAACTGAAGGTCACGGGCTACGTCCATAGTTAAACATTCTGTTGCTAGGAAAAAAAAAAAAAAACAAGCCTAGCTCACACCCTAAAACAAAACATTCTGTAGGCAAACCACTCTCTGGGCCGAATCCAAAGTTATCTCTTAAGGAAACTGGAACTTATTTGGACCCTTAGACTTTTGTTTGAGGCTTCTCTATTCCTTGACTTCCAAGGGCTGGCTATTAGGCACACCTGTTGACAATATCCTTGCGCGAGCAGAACTCTCTGGTCGGAGGTCTTGATGGGACCTTTGCTTGAGGTAGAAGCACAATAGCCTTGAAGGAACTAGAGATAAGTTCCAACTCTCTGACCTTTGGTCGATGTGGAAATAGGCTCCCATTTTCAGGCTGACACTTACGTGCATCTTAGTCATTCATTCACGCTCTCAGTTTCTTTCTCTCCCCCATGCTGTTCTCGTGGCCACCTGTTCATTCCTGTATCTCTTACACTGGAGCAAGCCAATCATTTGACGATGCTTACGTTTTCCTTCCAGTAACTGCAGTTTTCATTGGTAGAAATCCTACTTTTTCAAATTAATTGCCCTTTTCTTAGTGTTCTAGGGCCCAGACCGTCTTTGGTTTGTTATAAACGTATTAACTAATTACTTTCAAATTGGACTGGTTTGGGGGTTCTTTGACTCTCATCAAAAGATTAGAAACTCTTTTGTTCTAATTGTTCATCTTCTAATTCTTTCATTTGGAGAGCTGTCTCCTTTTTTTTCCCCTGGTGTTGCGGATCAAATCTGAAGCCTCGTGCACGGTATGCAGGTGTTCTACCACTGACCAACATCCAGCCCTAGGGCTTGGGTGACTCTTAATCTGTTTTGTATACCCATCTTCTGTGGGTGTAATGCTCTCTGTGGTAACTCCATGTGGCCTGGTTGTGAAAGAGTCTCACATTCTGATTCTGGCAACAGCTCAGAGGTTCAATGGTCCTGAGTCAAATTTTGTGCCTATTCATTTTCCGTGGTTCTCACGGATTCTGAATGCAGGCACCAAAGGCAGAAGTATTTGCGTATTTTACAACCCCAGCAGATGGAAAGTCCAAGGGCCACAGTCTGAGGTGTTAATGCTTGTACTTGAACTGAAAATGCTGTGGTAGCCACAGAAGGTGGGGAAGTTGGACCAGTGTTTCCTTATGAAGCTTGAATCCTTCGGGAACTTTTTCTGTCCTTCCCTGAGGAAGTCCTCATTCCCAGGGAAGCAACTGCCTGTTCTTCCTACAGCCTCGAATGGAGAGAGATTAAAAGCCATGCTAACCCAGCAGTGAGCCAGCATTTCACCTTCATCACACTAAACTCCCGGTTGCTTGATACTAGTGGCAGAACCGGCCCCTGGGTTTTACAACACGACCTAAGGCATATTTTCTATATGCATACAGGTGTCAAAAGGGAGCCAGAAAGGGTTCCTTCTTCTGGTCATGCTCTGTAGCCTCTTCTAAGCAAGAGTTTCTCCACAAACGTGCAAGGATGGGGAATAGGGATGGGGGTGAGCAAGGGAGAGGGTGGAGCCATCCATATCGAGACATTCCAGCGCTGTATCTCTCTTCGGTCTAAAATCTAGAGTGTAGAGAATTATGTTTGGTCTGTCTTATGTAGCGTTTGTGTCTCTGAGACCAGGAGCTTGGGTCACTGTGTTGTCAGATCATCTAAGAAGCATCTTCTCTCTAGCATCTTCCCTCTAGCACAAGGGAGGCAAAGGCAGAGATGTCTCTGTGAGTTCAAGGCCAGTCTTGTCTTCATTGTGAGCCCTTGCCCTCCTATTCTCTAAAAAGAATGGCCTTTCCTCATGAAGGAGACAGGTTGGTTTATTTGTGTAAATCATCAAGAGCAGACTTATTTAGACCCTTTTCTAAGTCATTCTAGATCTTTGGACTGCATGAAAGAAAACTACTTGCTAAAATTATGATGTCTGTACTTACTATAATAAAATAAATGTGTATGTGTGGTATGTGTGCAAGGCAATGTATTAAAACACATATAATAAGTGCTAAGTGCAGTTTGAATTTGGTGTCTCATGCATGGTACTCTTATTTTTCTTTTTTTTTTTTTTGAGAGTGATGGGATTGTTTGTTTCAGTAATAGATTTTGGTTTAAGTCAAATATAGTGTTTACAATACTGAGAAAGTTTTACAAGCCACTATTAAAACAGTAAGATCATTTGTCTTGAAGCAATCTTCTGTGTGTTTAGTTTAGGAATATCTTACTTTTTTTTGGCCCTGAACAAGAAAACCCATGCTGAATTGAATTAAGTAGTGATTTATCCATGTTGTGGCAAACGGGATCCTGGAGCCTTTGCAAACTGCCTTTCAATAGTTTTTCTATCAACTTCTTTTTTCGAGTTATAGAAAGAATTGCATTTCTGTTTATTGCTGTCAGACAAGAGGGTGTAAACATTAAATGTTACTTTTCTAGGTCCTGGGAAGCATATTCTATGGCCCTCAACTGTGAACGGTAGCACAGTCTTTGACCCATTTTATAGATTAGGCAACGTGGCTTCCTAGACCGCATTGGCAACCGTGTAGCTGTTGCACTGATCTTTATACTGCCTACAAAGGCAGGTACAGTTTTCTCCCGAGAGAGTCGGTAATACCATGAGACTTGAGTGAACAAATGATCTTTGAGTTGCACAAAGACATAACTTATGCAAGCTACAGAGATCCGGATACCATATCTCTCAGATCACTTGTACCCATTGGAGTAGCAAAAATCTTGCCCATGATGTTTCAATTTCTTAACTATTTTTGTGCCATGTACTTACTCCCTTGGCCTTCTGATGAATCCAAGGGATTGATTCTCAAATCAGTGTTTCAAAATGTATAACAGGAAGAAGAGCAATTTTGTTGAAATCGAGTCTGAGCATCTGACTCCTGCGATTTCAGCTTTTTCTATTCTGCCCCTCTTCCCACGAGTCTTCCAAAGAGACCTTCTGAAGCGGCCTCCTGTACAGTGGGGTCTCCCTCCCAGGCCCTGGCTTAGCCACAGACCAAACATAAGCACCTGTTTTCCCAGAGAAACCCTTTATTAGGCGGGGAAGAAAAGTTCAAGTGGCTGCTTTCTGGCTCAGGCAGAAAGCAGCAGCAAATGACCTCACAGGTGTGACTTTTAAGAGAAGGAAAGGGAAGAACTGTGTGAGAATGGGCAAGGATGTGGTGAGCAGCAAAGGAGAAAGAGGATGAGGGAGAGGGGAAGGAAACAAGGAAAGGGGATGGGGCATTTGTCCCAGAGGGACAAAAGGCTGGCTCTGGATAGAGAGAGGAGACAGATGTGTCACATGGTAAATTTCGGTTTATAAAGGTAAAGAGGGAAACCCCTTGTTAGGATGCGGTGTTTAATTTTAATTGGGCTTGCTGGTCTTTGGTAGTCAGCCTCAGGATGAAGGAGTGAACATATAAAGGAACACCTTAGTGGCTAGCTTTAGGAATGTAATATAACTGTTTTTAGCAAGGCCGAGGGAAGCGGGGGGGGGCGGGGGGGGCGCAAGGCCTGCCAGAGCCACTGTTCAAGTGGGCTAGAGTCCTTTCACCTTCCATCTTCAGATAGGCAGGTAGCAGCCTGTCCCACACAGGTTTGAAGCTTGTGGAAGTGATTATAGGACGCGCTCCCCCATCCAAAGAAGTCTACTTCTTCAGCTCTTTCTTCTTTTCCCAACCTAGCTCTTGCTTTTTTTTTCTAGTTTTTCTTTTCCGTTCTTCTCACCCTTTGCTTAGCCCCGCCCATTTTGAGGCCTAGGCACACCCCCTCCAGCCCTCTGCTCCTCGTCCCCCCCCCTCCCATCTCCGCTCCCTGCCACACCCACGCCCTGCCTCCCCTGCCAAGTCCCGCCTTTTCTCTTCCCTGCCAATCAGGTTGGGGCCACCTTGTGGCACTGCCCCCGAGCTCTCTAAGGGCCAGTGGGTGACCTGCGCTCGGGGCGCAGTATCCCGGCTGCGGAAGGATGGCAGGGGCCGCCGGCTACTTCTCGGACGAGCAGTTCCGGGAGGCCTGCGCGGAGCTTCAGCAGCCAGCGCTGGCCGGGGCCGACTGGCAGCTGCTGGTGGAGGCCTCGGGCATCACCATCTACCGGCTGCTCGACCAGGTAGCGGCTGACCCGCCTGCTGGAGGAGATCAGGGCCCTGAATACCCACCCCGGTCAGGACTCCCCACAGATCTGGCAGCTGTGCTGTGCGGGAGTGACCAGGCACCTCTGAGTTACTTTGCCCTGTGCAGATTCTATGTGATTGGGAGGTTATCCGAGCTCAGCCTCAGGTCATTCTTGTTGCTGGATTTTGTGGATTGTTATATTTTATGTTTTACTCTGTCGCGTTTGCAAAAACATCAAACGACCCTGGAGCAGGGAATTGTATTTAATGGTCCGTGGTTGGAGACGGGGCGATGTGCCAAAGGTACCTGGTTTAGGGTCCCGACTTTCATTATGAGAGGGTATACTGCATACAATACATGGTTCAGATATGGAGCTGGAATGGTGTGCCTATGGGCATTTGGGAGTGTGTGACTGTCTACATTCACAAGAGAGAGGCATTTGGCAGCAATCAGTTGACAGACAGTAGGAAATGAGTAATTTGGGACTTTGGCCCAACTCAGGAAGTAGTTCGTTAGGAGTAAACGATAGAGTTAAAACATTATTAGTCAACTGATTCCTAGACCATGCTCACGCCTGTGGAGGACGGGGTTTCCTTCTGCCAGATGGGTACCAGTACTGTAAGGGGTGGGGAGGGTCCATATTCTGAGACAGGTGGGAAAGAGACAAGACTCAGAAACTGGGGTGTTCACAGTGGCCAAGAGGTGACAATAGTAATCTCAGCATTTTAGGGGTTGTCTTCTCTGGGTTCCAGTTTTAAGTAGTATTTGATAACTTGCTTGTGAATCTTCAGGCAGAAAGAGCAGTGGACACTGTAGGAGGAGTGGGGTTGTTTGCTGAGCACCTTGTGGCATTTTATTGGAAGCTTCTAGAACCAAGTAGCCCCCAGATGAGAGAAACCAGAGGCTTGTCCTTATTGATTTGCTATAGTCAACCAAAGTTCCCTGGCACAAGATCAGAGTGTTGGCGCAGAAATGGACCCGGAGGGATGAAATAACTCCCCAGAGGCCCAGGGAAAGTCACGACAAAGGTGCAGTTGGAGGGTCCACAACCTGGTAAATAAAAGAAGTTTGTGGTATAATACGTGAAGGTAGAGGAAGCTTCTGATCGGTAAAGGCAGAGTCCTGTGAGCTAAGGTCATCTGTACTTCCTTCTTGAGGTCACCGAGCAGCCTGCATCAGTGTACTTTCATGGACCTCTGGGGCCGGGAATCCTTCGTGAGGTCAACAATAGAAAATTTCATTGTGTGCCTCTGCCATGCCCCTAATGAGACTTTAGCAACCCTCAAGTGAAAGTGGACGCTTTAGGCAAAATCCTTCTGCCGTCTCCCTGATCCTTAGACCTTCCCTGCCAGCCACCTATGGAGGCATTTGCCAAGTTGTGTATCAGGCATCAGATCTATTTCCCTCTGCCTTCTCTCCTTTTCCAGGCTGGGTTCTCAGCACCTCTCACCTCATATTGCTTCATCTTTTTTTTTACTGGTTTCTTGGCTTCTGTCTCTTCACTGGCCTGTATCTCATACATTCCAGACCTTAAAGAAAGATTATAATCTTATCCTGTTAGCCTTTCCATGTTACCCTTAGTCACAGAATTGCTACCAGTCATTGTAATACATAACAGTTGCTACAATGTTACCCTTAGTCACAGAATTACCACCAGGCATTGTAACTAACAGTTGCTACAATGTTACCCTTAGTCACAGAATTGCTACCAGTCATTGTAATACATAACAGTTGCTACAATGTTACCCTTAGTCACAGAATTACCACCAGGCATTGTAACAACTAACAGTTGCTACAATGTTACCCTTAGTCACAGAATTACCACCAGGCATTGCAACAGCTAACAGTTGCTACAATGTCCCCCATAGTCACAGAATTACCACCAGTCACTGAAACAGCTAACAGATGATGCCCATTTTCTTATAATCCAGGCACCATACGTTGGCTTGCTCATTTCTAACTTCAAGCCTGGGATAGACACTGTTGATCATTGCCTTTTTACCCATATGGAAAGGTGTGTGTGGAGGGAACAAGTTGGTTCATCAAGATTAGAACCAACATCTGAACCCAGCTGTCTGGTTCCACAGTTATTCCTCTGCCTCTCTGAGCAGAAGGCACGTGCAGCCTGGTCCATTTTTGACATCCCTCTGAACATTTTTTAAGCCTCAATTTTCTTGTCTGAAAAATGGGCTAATAGTTCATACCTCACATACTATCATTATGTGAACTAAATAGGACAAGCCATGCAAGTGGTCAGTTCGTTACCTGGTGTTCAGTAAGGGCTTAGAGACTGTTCGCAATAATTATTTTAGCTAGCTATCTGCAACCCTTAGGTTTTAAACCCATTGCAGTTTCTTAGAACTTAAATATATTGTAGATTTAGCCAACTGTGTTCTTCATGGTCTGTAGCCATAGCAGCATCATCTGTGACCCCTGCCTTCATTTTCAGGAAAATGCTTGCTTTTTATGCCCCCTGAATTTATTAAGTCCCATAGAATAGCTGGAGTTGGTCAGCATCCACAGCTATACAAAGACACCTTGTCCCCTTGAGGAATAGCAATGTGCTCTTCTGTGCGAGGCCAAGTCAGTGCACAACAGAGGGAGCATTCATAGGGGACGAGCAAAGAGTGGCGCTTGGGCTGCCTTAGAGTTAGTGATGAAAACGAGAGGAGCTCCACAAATGAGGGCCATGTGTGGGTGGTGCCTCTGTCTGGGTCAGGTCAGAGGGATGTGGGGGTGTGGTGTGGCCAGGTGATATCCACAAGTAATTACTTCTATGTGGGAGGTGCGAAGGTCGGCCGTAAACAGCGTTTGGACACTTTCCGTTTCTCTCAGGTAAATGCACGGCAATTCCTCTGCTGAGGTCAGATGAGCTCACCGATAACCTTAGCAGTAAAAGTGAAAGTAAATTGCGTGGCTTTTTTTCTAGAAAAGACAGCTTGGTGTTTAGATAACCTACCAGAGCCAAAGTCACGTCCTAGGACCTAGTCAGAGCGGTAGCAGTTTCCTAGCCACTTGTCCTCCCTCTGAAGCCTCTGATTTTTCGTTTGTAAGGTGGAGATGCTGATATGTCCCTAAGCTCAGTGACTGGTGACCTGGAGGTGTTCGTTGATACCTGTGGTTCTCAGTCCTCACTCCTAACCTGGGAAGAGGAGATCAAATATCTGTGTGCCCCTCATTGACTTCCTCTGGCTCACCGGATATGACCCTCGGATTCATTCTATGAAGTGCTTCTTTGACCCATTTACAGGTGGAGAACTTGGGTTCAGCCCAGTTTAGCTTGTGGCTCCAAGCCCATGTGGTCATCACTGTGCTGTCCTTTCTGGCTACTGAGCTCAGGAGACCAATTTTAGGGACCACAGTGGAAAACTTAGCCGCATCTAGTCCGTTAACATTGAGAACATTATCCTTACTGCTGCCCTGCTTTATCTTCTGGTCCGAGTCTGACTTTTGCAGAAACAGCATCTAAAACAACACTTTGGCTGCCCAAAGCACTGTTGGGCAAACACACCAGGCTTAGGGACTCGGGAAGACCTTCCAATAAAAAATCCACTCTGAAGCTAGCACAGCAGAAGGGACAGGTTATGCAAGCTTGTGTCATCAGCTGACTCCCAGCGAGTCTCTGGTGTCTTTCACATCATTGGTTTGTGGTCCCTGCCTAATCTTATGTGATGGGCCTTCTTGACCTGAATCATTGGCCTGTGCTTTGGATAAGACATGTAGAAAGCATGGAGCTAAATGAAATGCTTTTGGGGCAGATGGAACTGGTGTCAAAAGACTCACAGTCTCCCTCTGTTTGACCTGATGCTAATGATCAGACTTAATACACGTAATTCAATACCTCTGAGTTTCATTTCCTCATATTTAAAAAAAATGGAGATCACAGCAATTTCTCTGTCTACCTCAAAGACCATGCAGATGAGTCAATAAGATCATGACCATAAAATTATTGGGAAACTAAACTAGGACTAACAAAACATTTCCCAATATTATTGAAACGATCATAGCATGTCTAAGGGCTAGGAAAACTTCTTCACTCAAACCATGTGGCTGTTGTGGTTACCACTGATGCCCAAGGGAAACACATACTGAGGGGGTGAAGTTAAGACATAGCCTGTGGCTGATCATGGCTCAGAGATGAGAGTCTAAATCCCTGCCAGTTTGTTGGTTTTTTTTTTAATGAGTAGCTTAGCATAAGGGCATGTGTAGTTCTTTGTGTTTCTGTAAAATTAAACATTAACCATCAGTTTAACTTCCTCTGTAGCAGCCCTTTGAAGCCATAATTAGTTCTTCTTAGGCAGAAGGGCAGGGCCCACTGTGGATTGTTAGGTCACTCACCTGATTGGACAAGCAATGTAGTGTGACTTCTTCAAATAGATAAAGGGAACGTGCATAAGACATATGAGTCCCTGTTGTTCGCGATGTTCTCAAAACTGCTCAGTCTCAGTAAAATTGACCTCAGTTTCCATTACTTCTTGATGTGAGATTCACTGGTCAGGGCCATTATCAGGGCAGCAAGTTAACAATCCTCCCTTGGAGGTGCTCCTGCTCTCTGGAGTTCTTTCTCACTTTTCTATCATAAATCTACATTATCTCTGCTGTTGTCATATTTCCTTATTCTTTATCAGCAGAAGCCATGGGTTCAGGGCATTGGAACCAGTGATCATCAGTCTCAAGTTATTAAGCTCACTGTGGTGGTTTAAAGCCTCTCAGAGGCTCATGTTTTCAGATGCTTGATCCCTGCTTGGTTTAGCTGCTTGGGAAGGATTAGGAGGGATGGTCCTGTTAAAGAGGTCACTCTAACAAATGTGTCACTGGGAGCAGGCTTTGATATTTCAAAGGCCCACAGCATCCCTGTTCTCTCTGTCTCTCTGTCTCTCGCTGTCTCTTTTCAGACAAGGATGTAACTTCTCAGCTACCACCCTGGCACCATGTCTGTCTGCCTGCTGCTGTGCTCCCCACCATGGTGGTCATGGAGTCACCCTTGAAACTGTA